CATTGTATGAGAATAGACTCAATATAGACTTACAATGCGAAAACACTGCCATAAGCTCGCATTGTTGTTTGCTGCGGCTCCTACAGCGACGACGACCAGTGGCCGGAATCATAGCATCGCCCCGTTATCTCTTAGGACGATTTAACACAAAGGTCCTCGAGCTTGCTTGAAAGCAGTTTGCCCAAAGGCTGCATGGCCATCCTGGATCTTTCTGAATTCCTGCGTTGCTTGCAGGCAGAAGATTCATTGCGGATTTATTGCCAAGGTTCAAGGATCCCGGGTCTGGACTTTGAATCAGCTTGTCGAAATGGAACTAGCATCATCATGAAGAGCATAAACCGATTCTTGTCTCTGTCTAGGCTCTGCGCAAAGGGTACCGATCTCACTTCCACTGTCTCCAGGCTTTGCTCCATGTCGCGCGCGGTGCTCACAGTCTTGAGGACTGTCCATGCAGAGCCGCCGAGGGCGGTCAGGGCCACAAGCAGAGTCGGGAAGTCGGTGCTGACGAGGTAGAGGATGTAGAAGAAGTACACCATCACCGCACACACCAAGAAGGCATCTATGCCGCGATCCTCCGGTAGATCCGTCACGACCAGACCCACACTCAAACTCCCATGCACCAGCTGCTTCCTTGCCAGGAGATTCATGAGCCGCAGCGCGGCCACCAAAGCGAGAGCAGTGGGACAAGCGGCGACGAGCCACACCCCAACCTGGCGACACACTCTCCGGGGTTTTGGCCATCGTCACGATAAAGATCACTACTCTCGCAAACCGCACATAAAGAGGGTCTCTAAGTGTCACGATTTTCAGTAAGTAAGCCACACCACCACTCTGAAAAAAGGCATGAAGAGGGCTTCTATAGGATCACTATTTTCAGGAAACGAACATTCGGCTCACTGGTAACGAAAGATAACACAGTGAGCTCCGTCAAAGGCCCCAGCTTAAACAAATTTAATGCTAGGATTTGCATGTCGTCAACATTGCATGCCGGGTGCTTCACATAAGCTGAACTTGTACTGAAGCTGTCGTTTCAGCATGCACTCGAGCCTCTTGCTCACAGGACTTCCGCACCACGGTGAGGGCACCGGTCTGCATTGCAGCGAGGGAAAGGAGGAAGCCAGCGGCCCAGGAAATTCCGGAGACGAAAGTTTGCATAGGCGTCTTCACTTTCACAAGGCCTTTCACTTGCTGCTCTGGCTCTAAAGGTTCTAGCTGCGAACTTGCCCAGGCCAGCCACAGCATCCAAGTCGTCACTGCAATGACCAACAGACAGCTCAGAACCAGAGTACCTCAAGCAGCAGACAAGAAACGCATCCCTCCCTAAAGTAGGGTTTAGGGTTTAGGGTTTCACTCATCACGACTATCTGCTGAAGTGCCAGTATCACCAGTAGAGTAGCAATGCCAAAGGACTGCGACAAGTATGTGACTATGCTAGTCCAATGATCGCAATCAGGGCTCCTTTCTACAGGTATACTGTAAGCCCCGAAGCCTCAAACCCTAAACCCTAAACCCTACTAGTCGCTAACACCTGAACCCCAAGCCCTGAACCCCAATAGCGATCCTGGGGGCTTCTTATCAGACTTATACTATAGAATATGCCCGAAAGCCCAAAACCTTAAAATTCACCCCAAACCCTAAACGCTTAGAATCCCAAACCCTAAAACCTTAAAACCCTAAACCCCAAAAACTTAAAACCCTAAATCCGAAAACCCTAAACACTTAAAACCCTAAACCCTTAAAACCAAACCACCCAAAACCCTAATCCCGAGAGTCCAGGCACCGGCCAGAAAATCCGGAACGCCCTCGGGGCAGCGCTCCATAAAGAGCCTGAGACAGCAACGAAGGAGCTTCGGGGCTGAGTACCAGGGTTTTAGGGGCTTAGGGTTTATAGGGTTTAGGGCTTTAGGGTTTAGGGTTTATAGGGTTTAGGGTTTAGGGTTTAGGGCTTTAGGGTTTAAGGTTTAGGTGTAGGGTTCAGGACTACCTCGGGGCTGGGTACCCTAGCCCAGAAAA